TTTTTTTAATGATTCTACGCGGATTGACAACCACAATCACGCGTCAACTCGGCTTATCTAAGACCGCTTTCCATACGCTCGCTAGTTCCACACCCTGGATTCTATCCACGATTAGATGCTTAGTAATTTCCACCGCCTTACCTATCACCGTCTTAAAACTTTAACATTCTCGAGATCTATTCTATGTCCGTGTCTAAAGCATGTACCATGTGTCAATAGTGCTTATCTTGTCAATATTCCTGCTGCCAAGCGCGAAAAGTTCTTTCTTTCAGTCCGTGTCCTGCTCGTCACCGTGGGTGTTTAGTTTTCACGGTTGTAATTAATTGTCAGATGCGATGATCGGAAGTCACACATAAGAGTTCATGATAAGTTTGGTTTCCGTGCCACTCCACATTCACCAATTCCTCCACAAAGAGACCAATTTATACCAGCTGAGAATCTGGCGAACTGGATCGGTAGGCAGGAGGACAGTAGTGCTTTATCTAATAGCTCAGTGATAGTTAGTGTGGACATCAGTTCAACCGCAACGGATCAAGTGGACAAATGACTGTGCAATTAAGCGACGGACGTTCCAAACCCTCAAATATGGAAGAGAATAACGTTCAGATACGTCAAAGAATACTAGAGGAACACTTCACATCACCAATATGCTTTAAAGAGTCGATAAAAAGGCTGCAGACGGGAAACAGGTCGAGGGTGTTGACCCTATGGTTACACTGGAAGAGCATGCAGACACCAGATTCAGTAAGTGGTCGAAAGCAATCGTTCAGTTAGAGCACATTTACAGTTGGGTGGTGATCAATAATTGTAGTGTTCACAAGTTACGAACCAACGCATCTTAGCACCGCAATAAAAACTATTAAATGTGATGTTAGGAGCTGACGCTGTCTGCCTTCTTGCGATAAAAAGCGCCAGGTGCCGGGATATAAGTGGAAAATAACCGGACAGGCATTTCTGCTACTCTTAAATGACGACTGTCTGGTTGCTACTTAACAGTTGGATGATCGGAGTTAGTAACCCGAATTCCCAGTTAACAAGTTCACAAATGAGTAGGAGACGAAAAATAATTCAACTGTATATAGTGATGTGTGAACTCGTTTTTGCAGATGGTTGACAAATGCATCCCAATCGATGCCTTACTTCTAAAATAAGTGGTACTCTAAGCGGTCATTCGGAGTATCCATCCCTGCAGATATACCACCACCGGTTGATGATTACATCGGTTTGTCTCCGTTATGAATTTCGAAACAGTGAGCATCAATAAGCAAAAGGGCAGACGGCGCTGCAATGGCGAACTCAAAGGAACGCCATCAAGCTAGTGTATGATTGCTGGGAGGGGGTGGTCGAAAAGCTAATGGGGCAAGACCTCATGCAAGCTAGTCGAATTTCGTCGCGGTGGATTTAAAAACGGCTGGTTCGCAAAAGTAAGACATGAGGATTTGTTTCTTCTTGGTCCAATGCTGTGTACACAACGCAACGGATATGTAGAGTGACGGACTTCGTGAACATGTGGCACCAGTTTGAAAATTCTATACGGTATCTTCACGTAATTTGCTTCGCAAAAGGTGTTCCATTGGTTAGGCCTAATCAAATCCCTGTTGTATCTATAAAAACGGTGACAAGGCTCAACAAGAGGTCCTGCATTAGGAAATTCTTTGAGATGGCAAAAAGGTCCAACAAACAGATAAATCTGTTGGCGATAACGTACAACACATACGGCTTTGGAACTCAATAATGTAATGACTTAACCTAGGTGCTGAAAACAGTTACGCAAAACCTGCTCAACAAATCATGGACATAGTGTTGAGTTACCATGCAATAAGCACATTGGTGGCAAGGGGAAAAATTATGTACGATTGGCGTTTGCCACTTCATTTTACTTTCCAGGTAATTGGCATGCAAGTTGGTACAGGCATTCTGATTCAAAATTCTGTCCTATACTATTTCCTCAGTTCGCAGCAGCAGAAAGTAAAGCACAAGTGAGCATAAACATAAACCCAACTGTCGAAGTTATCCGAATGCACAGGCCTACCCGTCGAGTAAACCGCACCTCCTATAACAAGTACTAATCACCACGGTTACTGTTCCGTGGTGCTCCGCGTCACGTTCAGCTGACTCCGTTGAAGAAACTGTCAGTATACACCAGGTACACCCCAACCCGCCACAAAACGTATTTTAACCAGCTGTGCAACGTTTGTTTAGGAAGACATTGGTTTCCACAGCATCTCTAAGGGCAAATACAGCCATTAAAAATGAGCTTATCAGCTGCGAACCACGCACAAAGGGTACGTTGATTTCAACTGCTACAATTTCCGTCACCAAAAATGGGAGAATAAGCGAGGGATACTCAGACATTGGGAGCCACGGCACAATCGGTCCGTGAAGCGGGGAAATGGGTAGCTACGCAACGAAGGCGAACTTTGAAGCATGACTGCCACTGACTGCGACTGAGCCATCTGTCACTGACGAATCCTGTCCCGGGGTCCACATCATCATCATCATCATCAGCGACAGCCAGCAATCAGTGTTCATGAGGTGACAGCGCCAACATGTGAATGGCAAGTCAATAGACGTAGCGAACTCGGTTTATGGGCGGTTGTACACCCGCACGGTCCCATAGAACTTGGTGAGGTGACATCTCCAACATGTTAATGGCAAGTCAATAGACGTAGCGAACTCGGTTTATGGGCGGTTGTACACCCGCACGGTCCCATAGAACTTGGTATACAGTCCTTATGTTGGATGAACTGTTGAAATATTGACTGCCAGACAGCGCCATAGTTTCCGAAGACCACTGGAGATTGAAACAGCCTACAGATCAGAAATAATAACGTTGGATGTTTAGATTAGTGCGGTTCAAGGAAATATGGGGCATGCATCCTTGTTCGAAGTTTTGGATGATTTTCGAAACACCTGGATTCTGTTTTGATTCCAGATAGCTTTTACCATTTGTCAAACTGCACACCAAAGCCCCATTAGTGTGCGTGCTTTGTCCGGACGGAGGAACGATATCTCGCACTAGATTTCTGCTGTCGCTGGCAGGTTGGTACAGATATTCCATACCAATTCTTTGGGTTTTTGGTAAGACTGTATTTTAAGGCCAGTGGAACTGTTACTCCTCAGCCCATCATTCAAGACGACAAGCTTGAAAATGAAATGCCATCCCCATCGCAAGTTGTTTCGCAGATACCTCACTTCTTTTGACCAGCGGATAGAATCAGAATACGGTTGGTTCCTACTGCGAATCATCTCCAGTTACTGAACTTTCGCGATCGAACAGCGTTTTGTTGCTCCTCAAGCCCAAGATCCCAACCCAAAGCTGCCACCTTGACGTAGTGGTCGGGCTTCGGTGCTGCAATGATCCCGCGGGCTACACTGGCTGGAACTTCGTTCCACAAGGTGCAACCATGCCAGGAAGGCCAAAGGGGAGCAGCCAGACC